TACATTTGCTATGAAAGAAGTCCCTACTGCGCTCCACATCGGTTCAGTGGAGGCTCTTTGGTCCTTTTCAGTCCCCGTCACCGTCCTCCGTCTGGTTATTCTCGTCTGTCCCCAAGCCTTGCGCTATAGAGGCCTTCAGGGGGCTGATTTACTGAAGGAATAGAGGCTCGCTCCCAGGATGGACTACAATCTCATGTTCAGTTTACTGATTTGTATTAAGATTGTAGTCCATCCCAGGGGGGGCGGAGCTTGGAGCGGTGACTACTTTACAACACACACAGGGACCACGGGGAACAGACGTAGCCCCCCTCCAGAAGGAAGGACAGTGTCAGAGAGGATTAATATCAGAGTCCCTGTGCGGGCAAAATGTCTTTTTTTTTGTAATTTTGGATGGAGTGTGGAAGGGGGGCGACCCCCCTATCAGGGTGCTGTTGTCCCAACTGGAGGATTGCCCTTCTATCTGTCCTGAGACTTATCACACGTACTGAAAATGACGGGAAGGCGAAAATGTTTAGTTGTCACCAGAACAGGAATAATGATTTTCTTTTTAAAGGAGATCTATGAGGGGGGGGAGGGGGGGTGCTTCTCACTCACCTCATAGTTCCAGCCGGCCTGTGACAATGAGACTGTCACAGGTCGGCTCAGTAGATCGAGAAGTGAGCGAACACATACCGGCATTCGCTCACCTCTCGATCCTGTCACGGCTCTCTGCCATGACAGGGGAGGGGCTGGATTCCCCCCTCCCCGCTCCGATCCTCCAGCGCTGACTGGCGGAACGGACGGGGGAGGGGGCGGGTACAGCTGGCTCTGCCTCTAGATAGGCGGAGCCAGCTGTCACTCACGCAGCTGGGCGGATCCCGGCATAATTGTCGGGATCCTCTCCGGCTGCGGCGTCTCAGTATACCGCGAGCTGTAGCTCCCTATATACTGAGCCTAGGGTGACGGGAGGACGCTAGTTTGTGTCCTCCCGTTACCCTAAGGAGAACTATGGGGAAAAGCCTTAACCCCACAGTTCTCCTTTAAATGAAACCTTATACTGTATACCTAATATGAGATGTCATCACTGGGTCTCTGTGCTTCTCCATGCAATGCAGGCAGACCATGGCTGGTGGGAGGGGCCAGCAAGGCGCTTTACAAAGCTTCCTGAAAACATCAGAGCCCCCACTGCAAGTAGGGGGCTGGATTTTGGGAGGAGTTATGCAAATATCAAAATGGGTGGGTGTCAATCTGCAGGAGTGAGCGTTCCTTGGCAGCAGTGGCGACTCTAGGAACAATCTGTAGGGGGGGCACATAAGATACAACAGTCAAATCTGGGGGGCATTAATAATTTTCATTGCATGTCGCAAGCGCTGGGCACCGATGAGCTGATTTAATTGCGGATGGCATCGGGACCCCGCGGTTGTGACATTTAGTCCAACGCCACCCACAATCCTCCATACCGCAACGGCCGGGCGCCGATGCCATCCGCAATTTAATCAGCTCTCAGCGTCCGGCAGTAAAAGTTGCTCCTGTAATGATATGTTTCTGTTCCGTCAGGCTTCCACCTGTCACGCCGCGTCACCGCGGTGGTGCCGGAGAGCTGTGTCCTGGTCACCGTGGGCCTAGTCATGGGCGGCATTATATTCGCGGTGGACAAACAAGCTCCGGTCATGAACAGCGACGTCTTCTTCCTCTACCTGCTGCCCCCCATTGTCCTGGACGCCGGGTATTTCCTGCCCATCCGGCCCTTCTTCGAGAACATGGGGCCCATCCTGTGCTACGCGGTGCTGGGGACCCTCTGGAACGTGGGCGGTGTTGGCTTCTCTCTGTATGGACTCTGCCAGGTGGAGGCCGTGGGTCTGCAGAACATCTCGCTGCTCCATAATCTCTGGTTCGGGAGCCTCATCTCCGCTGTCGACCCCGTGGCCGTCCTCTCCGTGTTTGAGGAGATTCACGTCAATGAGAAACTCTACATCCTGGTGTTTGGTGAATCTCTGCTGAATGACGCCGTAACTGTGGTAAGCCACTGAGTCCTCCTCAATGATACCCCCAGACACCGGGGAGGTGGGGGAGGGCCACACTGTTATTGGTATGTACCCATCATCCTCACCGAGGCATCCTGGAGTAGTGGCAGAGTGATCTTCCCCCTGATGGTTCCTGCAATGTGAAACCAGTGGGGCCCATGCTCTCTACTTTTAAATAGGTAACCATTGGGCATTCCCACTGACCACCAATGTTACATAGTATTTGAGGTTGAATAAAGACACAAGTCTATCAAGTCCAACCCATTGCGCGTATGCGTTCATGGTTCTGCTGGTGTGTGCGTGTGCATGAGTCCATGTGTGATTTTGCTCTTAAGAGTGCCTGTACCCCTGTATGTTACCTGTACCCCTGTATATTACCTGTACCCCTGTATGTTACCTGTACTCCTGTATGTTACCTGTACTCCTGTATGTTACCCGTATCCCTGTATATTACCTGTACTCCTGTATGTTACCCGTACCCCTGTATGTTACCTGTACCCCTGTATATTACCCGTACCCCTGTATATTACCCGTACCCCTGTATGTTACCTGTACTCCTGTATGTTACCTTTACCCCTGTATATTACCTGTACCCCTGTATGTTACGGTCTCTAAGGAAATCGTCCAAAAGCTTCTTGAATGCTTCCACACTCTTAGCTGAGATCACTTCCTGTGGCAGCGAGTTCCAGACCCTGACCGCTCTGACTGAGAAGAACCCCCTCCGCCCCTTGTGTTGAATTTTTTTTTCCCACCAATTTTAGGTGGTGGCCTCTAGTCTTTGTTATGGGGATAACCATAAAGAGTTTGTTGCCAGTCACCATTGAACATTTTGTACATAAAAATCATGTCCCCATAAGTGTATAGTCCATTTGCTTATTTTTAGCTCCAAGGTGCATTACTTTGCATTTATCGACATTGAACTTCATTAGCCATACAGTTGCCCCTCCCCCTATTTTATCCAGGTCCTCCTGTAATGTTACAATGTCTAAGTCAGTGTCTATTACCCTCCCAATTTTCGTATCATCAGCAAACACTGAAACATGGATATTCACTGCCTCCCCGATATCATTAATAAACAGGTTAAAAAGCATGGGACCCAGCACCGAACCCTACGGCACTCCACTCATGACCCCCAGCCCAGTCCAAAAAGGTGCCATTTATCAATACCCTCTGTACACGTTCCTTCAGCCAGTTTTCTATCCACGTGCACACTAATTCATCTATGCCCATAGTCCTCAGCTTGTATAACAAGCGTTTGTGTGTCACCGCATCAAATGCTTTGGTGAAGTCCAGATACACTACATCCACCGGCCTCCCTCCATCCAGATCTCTACTTACCTCTTCGTAAAAGGTCAGCAGGTTGGTCTGGCAAGAACGATCCTTCCTAAATCCGTGCTGGGTATCCGTTATTATGCCCTGATCCCGGACAAATTCCACTAAGTAATCCTTAATAATTCCCTCTAACAGTTTACATACTATGCATGTCAGACTAACTGGTCTGTTGTTCCCGGGTTGGCAATGTAAGGAGCATTCTTCCCACTGACCCCCAATGTAAGGAGCATTCTTCCCACTGACCACCAATGTAAGGAGCATTCTTCCCACTGACCCCCAATGTAAGGAGCATTCTTCTCACTGAGTTATAGATATAAACGATTGGAAGGGTTCCTCCGGGAATAAAAGGTGACGTATGGCCATTGGCTGGTATACAGTCTATCGTAGAATAATAATAACATGGAAACATATAAATATGACAATATTATAATGACAATGTATCTTCTCGGCAGGTTCTATATAAGCTGTGTGAAGCGTTCAGTACAATGTCGGATATTCGGCCAGCGGACGCCTTGGCCGGAGTCGGGACGATCTTCTTAGTCGGGATTGGCGGAGTCTTCATTGGCCTCGTATTTGGCTTTGTGGCCGCGCTGACAACAAAATTCACAGAACACATCCGAGTCATCGAGCCGCTGTTTGTCTTCCTGTACAGTTACCTGGCGTACCTGACCGCCGAGATCTTCCACCTTTCCGGCATCATGGCGTAAGTGAGAACCACATTATATCTCTGTGATAAAAGAGCACCTGTCACCTCCAGCAGTGTCACTCAACTCTGTATATGTTATGGCACCAACCAGCCATAACATTCTGACTACCCCCCTAATATTAAGTAGGTCCCCCTTCTCCTGACCCGTCCAGGCATGGACTCCCCCTTCTCCTGACCCATCCAGGCATGGACTCCCTCTTCTCCTGAACCATCCAGGCATGGACTCAACTAGACCTCTGATGGTGCGCTGTGGCATCTGGCACCAAGCGGTCAGTGGCAGATCCTTTAAGTCCTGTAAGTTGTGAGGTGATCATCCTCCATGGGTCGGACTTGTTTTTCCAGCACATCCCACAGATGATGGATTGGACTGAGATCTGGAGAATTTGGAGGCGGAGTCATCACCTCTAACTCATTGTTGTGTTCATCAAACCATTCTTCACCCATGTGTGCAGTGTGGCCGGGCGCATTATTCTGCTGAGAGAGGCCACTGCCATCAGGGAATACCGTGTCCATGAAGGGGGGGGACATGTTTAGGAACAATGTTTAGGTCGGTGGTCGGTGTCAGAGTGACATCCACATGAATGGCAGGACCCGAGGGTTACCTGTCATGATCAACAGTAGGGTTCGAGTTACCAGGAGAGTTAGGACTACCAGTAGGGTTACTGTTAGGGATATCTTTAGGGTTACTGTTCGGGTTGGCGTTACTATTTGGGTTAGAGTTACTGTTAGGGTTAAGATTATCATTGAGTTTAGGGTTACTGTTAGAATTAGTGTTATCATTACAGCTATGGTAACCATTAGGATTAGGGTTACCCTTAGGGTTAGGATTGCCATTAGGGTTAGCGTTAGTTTTAGGATTACCATTAGGGCTAGAGTTACTGTTAAGGTTAGGTTTATCTTTAGGATTATTATTAGGATTAGGGTTACATTAGGGTTAGGGTTACTATTAAAGTTAGAGTTACCAGTAGGGTTAGGGTTACCATTAGGATTAGGGTTACATTAGAATTAGGGTTACCATTAGGATTAGGGTTACCATTAAGTTACCATTAGGTTTAGGGTTACTTTACAATTAGGGTTACAATTAGGGTTAGGGTTACCATTAGGATTAGGGTTACCATTAGGTTACCATTAGGATTACCATTAGGGTTAGGATTACCATTAGGGTTAGGGTTACCATTAGGTTACCATTAGGATTAGGGTAACCATTAGGATTAGGGTTACCATTAGGTTTCCATTAGGATTAGAGCTACATTAGGATTAGGGTTTACGTTAGGGTTACCATTAGGATTGGAGTTACATTAGGATTAGGGTTTACGTTAGGGTTACCATTAGGATTGGAGTTACATTAGGATTAGGGTTACCATTAGGGTTTCCATTAGGATTAGCGTTACGTTAGGATTAGGGTTACTGTTAGGGTTACCATTCGAGTTAGGGTGCCATTAGGGTTAAGGTTACAATTTTAGAACAGGTTGGATGAAAAGAACTTCCATCGCACCCTTAAAGACCTCCTTTATTTCCCCTCCCCCCTTGACTCCAATGCATTTCACCAAACTGCCAACATTTTCAGCAAAAAGATCATGAAAATCACACGAATGATTTGCATTGAAATCTCAAGTTTTTTTTCTCTTCCGTGTTTTGGGACGTCTTCCCTGATAGTTCTGTATTGATCTTTCCAGGATCATCGCCTGCTCGGTGAGTATGAAGCGCTACGTGGAGGCCAATATATCCCAGAAGTCGTACACAACGGTGAAGTATTTCATGAAGATGTGGAGCAGCGTCAGCGAGACCCTCATCTTCTTCTTCCTCGGCCTCTACACGGTGGGGAACAATCACGACTGGAACTGGACCTTCATCTCCCTGACCCTCTTCTTCTGCCTCTTCTGGAGGGCCCTAGGTAGGTGGGACCACAACCAGCTTATCATGGAACATTGGGAGATCAAAATGCAAATCTTGGAACTAAGGACAGACTGTTAAACAATATTTAATAATGTCTACACCCACCCCACACATCACTAGAGATGGGCCGAACACCCCCAGTGTGGGGGGGAAAAAAAAGGGGTCCGGGTACGGCCCTGGGGGACATGTATGGGGGTCCGGGTACTGCCCTGGGGGACATGTATGGGGGTCCGGGTACTGCCCTGGGGGACATGTATGGGGGGTCCGGGTACTGCCCTGGGGGACATGTATGGCTTTGCCCAATCAGGGCTGTAAATGTGTACTAAGCCTGATTGGCAAAGTCTTGCAGCTGACCTGTAGTCAGGTGCAAGACTTTAACCAATTACAGCTTCAGAGGGCGCATTGCCTTGTGGGATGTTGCGCGGTCGAAGAGACAGCGAACATCCCACAAAATTACGTTCGACTCGAACAGCCAGCCCATTTCTACACATGACGGCACCTTGAATGTCCCTAGTCGAGAAAATAACATTTTGCACAAGATTGAGGGTGATGTGAATTATGCACAAAATTTCAGTAAAAAATCCTCAGAAAGTATAAATTGTCCTGTGATTGTTTGTTGGCGGAAGTCAGCACAGAGATTGCTCAAAGCGGCTTTATAAATAGTAAAAAATTTGCCATCTTGATATTCCCCAGGAAAGGATCAGCAAAATACTGATCTCCAAATCCCACCAAATGGGCCCTTTATGGTGATTTCCACCTTGTAACATTTGTGTACAATTTGTGGGCACACGCGATGAGTTTGGCTTCACCAAATGTCCGGAAAAGGAATAAATGTAGAAAACAAATTACCACCCGGGGCGCCCATGTTCCGGGCTTCGGGTGACTTCAAACCTGCTTCGTGCCCCCCCCCAGGCCTGGGCCTCGGTGGTAGGGTTGCCACCTGTCCAGGATTCACCCGGAGAGTTTGGGTTTTGAATGCTGTGTCCGGGTTTCACGGCAGCAGAAACCCGGACACATGATGTCAGGCAGACAGGGGCAACCAAAATTAAGATAGGGGCTACTGGCCCCCCACTGAAAATAGTCTCAACTGTGCTATTTACAAATGATTAAGCCGCGACTCATTCTCCCCATAAAAATGTCCGCGCGTCGCTTGAGTGTTCGGGTTTCGCTTGAAGAAAAGGTGGCAGCCCTACTCGGTGGCCTTGTCAGGAATCCGGCCCGGGCTCCGATACGGGCCGTCACGCACCAGCAGAGTTTTCGGAGAAAGTTTTAGTCGGCAGTAACGTTCTGCAAGTTGCCGCCAAAGTCCCCTCCACCCCCAAAAAACATTTCGATGACTTCTCCGGCGTGTATAAATCTCCACTTCAATCAGTCTCAAGCGGTTCGCTCTTCTATGGTGTTTTTCCAATACGCGTCCGGCGGGGAGCGCGTCCAGAAACAGACGAGCTGATGAATAAATTGTAACCAAACAAGACAATGCAGATGACAGAAAAAAACACACACACATCAAGCGCATTATTTAATAGTTTGATTTGTCTTCATAAAATTAGTGTGATTGCGGAGAGCGGCCCCCCCGGGGGGGCCCGGAGTTACCACCAAGTATGGCGTCTTATGAATAAATTACCCGACAAAGCATAATTTACAATTTATAAACGTGGCAGTAACGAGGCGATACAAAATGAAGGGCTCTAATAATATGTTTTTGAAAGATGTATAAATGCTGAAGATCCCTCCAGTCGCCAATTTAGTAACCGAGACGTCTCAGCGTCGCGCTCTGCCCTGGAAAATGCCGCCCACCTTTCCGAAATCAGAGGGTGGGCGAGCGGGGTGACAGTCGTCGTCAGACGCGGCGGAGTTATGGGGTTTATAAATATTCAACAACAAAAAAAAATGAGATTTGCATACGGTGATAAATACACAGCAAAGAGACAGAAGAAGGATGATGGACTCTTCTAGAAAGTAACAACTTTATACTCCGGAAACAAAGAGAGTTACACGAGAACTCCAGACAAATGGTTTCCGCCCTCTCAGCCTCCTGACCTGTACAGAGAAGCTGGGGGGTCAGACCGCCACTGGGGACATCTCTGACTCTCAAGCTGAGGAGTCAGACAGCCACTGGGGACCTCTCTGACCCCTGATTCTCAAGCTGAGGAGTCAGACAGCCACTGGGGACCTCTCTGACCCCTGATTCTCAAGCTGAGGAGTCAGACAGCCACTGGGGACCTCTCTGACCCCTGATTCTCAAGCTGAGGAGTCAGACAGCCACTGGGGACCTCTCTGACCCCTGATTCTCAAGCTG